CCTAGAAAACGCCAACGATAGACCAATAGATAGACAACAGACTATACAGATTAAAATATTTCAGTGTGCCAAAACTAAGAAAGGTAGAGTCCTGAAATTATCAGCAGTTATGAAAAACATCATTTTCTTATAATAATCAAAATTTCATTGCGACATCTTCAAAACTGTTGAAATTATGGAACTTTGAAATATTTATCATTGGAAATACAAAAGAACAAAAAACGGTTAAATCCAAACTTTCTGAGGATTTGATGGATTGTAAATGAGTATGGAATGTACATGAAGGCGGGCCCTTTTAGATGCATATTCTACTAAAAATCTCTTATAATTCTCGATAGAAGGTTACACTCAATTTCAAAATTCCACAATTCCACTTAGATTTCTTGAACAAGACTAATATACAATATAATAGTGCATATGACCCTCACGTGCACGGCATTGCATTTTTATTACAAGACCTCCGGCGCAAGTTTTATCCTTCTTGCTTAAGGGTTAATATTAATAGTGTATATGACCCTCAAGTGCACGACAAGAGCCTATTACGCGACGGGCATGGTGTTCACTAATGCTACCAATCTTTATTTTCCACTGTGGGGTCAAAGATTGTTTCAACTGATGTAAAATTGCTGGGTTTTGGGTTTATCCTGTACAGTGCTCTCTCCGACTTGTTCCAACGAATTCAATTGGGGCTTTCGGCGGATTTGGTTATGAGCAGAATGTTGTTTTTGTTCATAAAATCCCTTACCAAGCAGGATGCCACGCTGCAATAAAAAACGTCCGGGAATATTGCACAATCAAATGAGAAAAAATGGAATGAAATAATTTTATAAAATGCCCCTGTATACTCCATGGCGTTGGCGTTTACATCCAGAAGAACCAACAGGTTTACACCAGTGGAACAAAATATTCCTCATAATTGAACAGAACTGCCTTCAGCAGCCTCATTTTCTTGTGCATTTTCTTGTAATATCTGTTCCTCGGTAAGAGGACGCTCACATTTAATATGGGATTTTTTTCCAAATCATTTTTCATCAGTTTTTTTCCCATTTTGCTGACTGATAAATGAAAATAAGGATTAAAATCGTGTTTTAATAACTTTAAATTATCTCTTTGATGTCATTGTGACATCAATTCATTAATGGAATTCGCCAGGGAAGCAAACAAAAACATATTGCCTATTCTATGTCCTATGACAACCATTAAAAGAGATATTTTGGCCCTCCATATTTTCCAAATTATTGTCTGTAAAAAAGTTACACGCTCCACAAAGGATCATCATATCAGTGTCTAGTCACAGTAACGGGCGCTGTTACGCCTGACCCCTTCTGGTTGCTACCAGCGCTCTCAAGGGGCAAGGCATTCCTTGGGATAGGTTTTTAAAGTTCAATCTGGAATAACATTTCAGGCATCGGTCAAAATCTGTCAAATTTGGTCCAGTTTTGTTTTAGGACATGTAGGCCATTGATTCGGCAAGTAATGGCCTACCCACATATTGTCTATGTGATTCAAATATGGCAGTTTTGATGACCGAGTTAGCTACTCATTCCCTTGGTTCTGTAAGTAATCTGGTATTAAAAGTGCTCTGTAAGAACCGGCAATCTAACCGTACAACTTAAAATTGTTCCTAAGTTGCACACTATCAAATGATAGCCAAGTGGTTCCCAGATTTATTTCTTTATTTGATCTGTTTCTGGTTTTCGTTGATGACTACCATTGGTGTTTTGGCACCAACGTGGTATCCACTCCAAATACTGACGCTGTTAATGACCTTAGTCACTTTAGACGCGGCACACGCTTCGTCGTTGGCCTCTTCTGGATGTCTGTAAACTCTGTTTTGACTGTTGAGTGGTACAGGTGAAATCTGACCTCAATAAAGAAAGCCACGAGATTTCAGTGTTCAACCCAGAAACGGTCAAAGTCCCCAGTTCATTAGAGAAACATACAACGATGTTTTGCTGTTAACAGTGGGTTCCTCGGAGGTCGTCTGGTATTCTAGCCTGCTAAAACCAGTTTGGTGTTCGCTAAGGGCCTTGAAAAATGCTTTTTGGTGGCAATTTACTCCTCATTCTGAACGGACTGGGTGGCTTTTCTTTAGTTGCAACAGCATATCCCTAAAGACAGTGGGTCCTGTACCCTGGTGGTAAGATTTCAATACATTGGGTGTGGCATCTGTGTAGGTACATCAGTCTGGGCATTACTCTACAAAACTGTGCGGACCGTTTCGTTTGGCGCAATTATCTGTCTGGCAATGACTGTGTTTTTCGCGCCATTCTGCCACAGATTAACAAATTTGTAAAGCACTGATAGCTCATTTTACACACTGCAAACCCGAAGACCACTTGCATGCAAAATTTCAAATTCTTCTATGCAGTAGTTGCCGACATATGGATACTTTTTTGACAGAACCATGCTTTGCCAAAGCCAAGCTTTGACCTGGAGCACTACCCAATTAAATCACTGTATATTACATAATGCAGCAGCGCAACAAACCTGGTATTCATTTAATTGATAGCGACACACCTGACTACACACTTCTCCATTCACATATTATATACGAAATGCATTTTCACCTAGGCATACCTTCGAAACTGAAATATTCCTTATTAAATGTCAAGTCTGTATATACTGTGATTAAGACTATTCTAAAGCAGAGTTAACAGGGTTAGGTGCATTTGAGAAGAGCCCATGAAGATTCAATGGGACTGCATTTGTCACCTGTTCTCTATTGTCCTGAAAAACATGGTTGGTAGTTATTAATTTTTTTAGTGTCACCACTACGCTACCATAGAATACCTAACACACTTGATAAAACAAATATTCCGTCAAACAAAATAATGGCCACAAGATGTGAGAGAAGCTCACATCCCCGGCAACCAATATTGGCCATTGTTTTGCCAACTTTTTGCTTTATTGTATGGGTGATGTATGTGTGATTATTTAATTTGATATTGTTACTATCCCCATCTTGCAACTTCGTATCATATTTCATTTCGACATTTTAATAAATGACAATATCAGTCATATGGCCTTATTTCTTATTTAATTTTGAGCACCGAGCTTCGTTGTGCTTGTGAACAAATGACTACATAAAGAATATTATTTGCAGGGTGCTGGGATATGCTCAACACGTTGCTTCATGTTCCCCCCTTCTGTTTCTCTTTCTTCAACTTCCCTTGTTAATTCTGTGTATTAGCCATGCACCTCTCTCCTCATTCATCTCACGTCCTCTGCAAACGGTAAATTCGCTTCTGTCTGTCATATTTTCAACTTTTCCTTCTGGTTACACGATCGAGCTACTCACCTTATTTTCGGATGTTGCATCAAAAACTTTAATGTTCTTTTGGTATCCGATTCCATTACATGTCTTGGGGATCTTAGAGGGTTCCACTTCTGTAACAGATGGCAAGGTAATGTTTCGGTCAATATGTTTCATTTATAGTTATTGGCTTTGTTACTATTAGAGCTTTTGCAATGGCCAGGGTTAGCTATCAAAATTTTTCAATTGAATTTGAACTTTTGTAATATTTTGTCAGTGCAATTCTCCCAGTCTCAACGAGGGTGGTTGGGATTATGGCCGTCCGTGTTTATAATTTGTTATTGTATATTGTTGCGATGTTCAGCATTTCTTACTAACCGGCTTGTCATCCATGCGCCAGCTCTTTTTCTTCTCTATTCTATAGTAGCGTATTTGTGCCATTTAAAAAAATGTAAGGACTAACGCACAATCTCATTAGTAGACCTGTACGCTAAACAAGTATCTGAATTCTTTTTAAGCGTCATGATTATTGGATTCAGAATCATCCGATTGCAACCCAGAGGAGCATCACATCGCATTAAGGAAGACTGAGCGTAAGCGAAAAGAAACTTGCATGCACGAGATAAAAAGTCATAGTTAATACGCGTTAATAATCTTGTATTAGAGTGGGAATGGTAGGATATACTGTATAAGAGGGGAACTTAAATCTCCTGGTAACTGCTGTGACAGTGCGAACAGGTTGTAATATATCTGAGGTTAAGCATACTGTTATCATGTGGTTACATTTATCTACGTTGAAGCAGAGGTTTTTATCTACTCAGTACCTATGCTGATGTCAGTTGTCATCCGTTACATTCTGAGATGACTGAAACAAAGAAATGAACTAAGCAATGACGAAAAAGAATCATTTGTATGATACACATTTGTAAAACATGTTAAGTAAATCCAAAAATATCGCATGTAGATGGTGTTGAATATATATATATATATCTATATACGTACTGCATCGATGCAAGATGAGAAAAATCCCATATTCATTTGGTACAATTTGGTCCTGAATTCAAAGCCCAGTGGCAAGACACAATTGTGCATCACTCCTTAAAATATTGTCTTAGGAGAATTCGAAAATACCAGATCAAATGTGGTTAAGTGGGGATCGGATCTCTTGAATGAATATCTGTTCTTTCTTTTATTGAAAAACGATTTAGAAGATAATTCAATACAAGGAGCCCGATTCAATAGTCTTAAAGCCAGTCTTATGGATGAACATCAATAGCTTAGTGAATTCATAAATAATGATGAACGAAATTTTGTCCACCTTCGTTTTTCATTTAAGATGCCGTTCTGTTAAGCACGAAGAGCAGAGTTTCATCGGCCGCATACACAGGACAATCCTTGTTCAATAGGCAATAAAAACTGTACCTGCGTTCGACAGCGTGATGCAGTGGTGGTTGTTGTCACCATCCAACCAGTCGGTTGATAATCAGGAAGACAAAACGATGGAATTAGTTTCTATTAACCTGACTTCTTTCTATCAGCAAAACACAACAAGTACTGTTTCTGTCGAGATGCCGAGAGCGCCACTGGAATACAAGATCATAACCATTATCTTGGGAATTACGATATTTTGTATTGGTTTCACTGGCAACGCCTTTGTCATCTGGGTAGTTACCCGAACTAAGTCGATGCACAGCACTACTAACTGTTATTTGGTGAGTCTCGCCGCCGCTGACTGTATAGTTCTTCTTACTGCCACTTTACCGTTCACAGTTGGGCTATTCTACGACCACGGGGATACTGCCGTATAGCATTGCTATTTGTTCAGTATTGACGTTCTTCAGTTACATGGGGATCAACGTGTCTTCACTATCCATAACAGCGTTTACTGTGGAAAGATACATAGCCATATGCCATCCGATGAAAGCCTATTCCATGTGTACTGTATCGCGCGCCAAAAAGATAATTTTGTGTCTTTGGGTATTTAGCGGGTGCTATTCTGCGCCCTGGTTGGCTCTCACTAAAGTTACTCAAGTTCCAAATGGTAATGAAACTTACAACGCTTGCGATTATAAACTCGAGAGAGATCAGTACTTCATTTATTACTTGGTGGATCTTGTGATGTTTTACATTTTCCCCCTATGTTTAACTGCTTTATTGTATTTCTTGATCGGGAGGGTACTCCTCTTGAGTGAAGAGGAAGGTTCCGTTCGAAACCGTAATAAAACGAAGGTAATTGCGACTTGCCAAACTAATTCCAATAGGGCTACCAAGGAAGAGGAATTACGAGGACTGAGAAACCGAGGAAAAGGAATACAGCCGTCCACTAAACAGGTACGAATATTTGCTATAATTTTTCGCATCCAACTTCAAGTTTTGATCTATCAAGAACGCAATACTACATCTCAATGAAATACCAGTTTATAATAACACCGACATGTGTGTCATTACAGCCAGTACATAAGAGTTTTGAGTCAATTTATTTTACACAACGTTTTTCTTTTACGTGTTTGTAAAAAAGCAAATTTGAAGTGTATGGTAGGCCTCGGGCGACTGCCTTGTTCTGTCCACGTGATGATCGATCACAAACTCTCCGCCAGATCCGGAGAGCCTTCTTTGTTGTAAAATTGTCTGAAAGCCCTTGATTATGTTTTCAAGAGAAACTATCATATTGCACGGTCCCAATAGTATACACTATCGTGTCTGACTTCGCTACGCTTGATGATTATCGGCCTCATAGTCATCGCATTGTAACGCAGAACACAATCACATCCCATCGAGAATGGATGCTGGCTGTGGGTCCCTTACCACGCTCAAATTGGCCGGGTTTGAGGTCAGACGTTCATTTTGATACTGGGATCACTATGCATGTGAACGGAACATACTATTAATCACTCTTTATGAGATTTCTCTGTAACATTTAGCTAAGACACGCTTTTAACTACAAGTCCCATTGCTCTATGAGTAGCACAAGGATAATGCAAATTTTTTTATGCCAGACGCTACACAAAATACCCAGTAAATGTATTGTTTTATTGATCACGACTATTTATTCATGAAACGTAAAGATTTGGAGTTCGGTGCGTTTTTGTGCCTGATGTCTTTTTGAATACAAGTATTATCAGCCAACTTTCTTTTGAATCAAACAGACGCACATTTACAACAATTTTGTTCCAGTTATAAGTAAATTAAGTGTAATATATATCAAAGCGTGGGCAAAATAAAACAGAAAATAGACTTACGGTGTTATCAAATAAGTAAACGTAGCTCTGAATCTGACGCTATTAAAACAAAGACATACAGTTATACCACCTTTATTATTTCTAAAATATCATCAATTCAGGTAAAAACGACATACCAGTTATCAAAAATATATAAAAAAGTGTGATCTTTCAAAAGAAGTTCAGCCATTCGTACTCTTTTAAAATAAAAATACAATAAACAGTAATAAAACAGAATAATTAGCTATTAGTAACTGAATTACTGCATGCACTGTGATTTACTTGAAGTTTTAAATGCGCATCTTTCACATGTAGTAGCCAGAATGTACCAAAATAAAACCAAGTCATTGCGAAATTGCCATAAGCAACCTTCTAAGCAACACATATCCTCGACTGATTTTTTTGTTCTTCAGAATGATATGATAGGTCCTTCCTACTCCATGTAGCGTATATATTTTTGTAGGTGCTGAAGATGTTGATCGTCGTCGTGGTGTTGTTTGCTCTACTGTGGCTGCCATACCGAGCTCTTGTGGTCTATAATTCTGTTGCCGCAGTTCGATTTGATAGCATATGGTTCCTGATGTTTTGCCGACACTTGATCTCTGTGAACAGTGCCATCAATCCTATCATCTACAACATCATGTCTACGAAGTTCCGAGAGGCTTTTAGAAAGGCGTGTATAGCTTGCTACGGTAAGTAGGATTTAATACGTTTTATAAATCTAATCAAAAATAGAGTCTATTTTGTAAAGGCCGAAGTAGCTCAAAACAACTAGTTGAGTACTGTTTGTATTGGTATCAATGCTATTTTTCGTCTACAATGCTTGTTTTAGAATTTTGGATACATCCATAAGTGTGCCTTTTTAACGCTAACGTTTAATTCTCTAGGTCGCTGTACTCCCAATACGACTGGTACTACGTTGTTGCAACAAACCAACGTATGCATGACATCTCTATAGATACTTACTGTTCTCCACACAAGTAGGATTGAGGCGAAGTTATTTTGAATGTTTTACCACGGTGTTTTCTGGGATTCAATTCGTGTCCGTGCTTATCATATACATCTATATGTACGCGGGAAAATGAACGCAATTACCAGTTTGTCCTCAGGAAGGCTCTTGAGTAGAGCCGAAAATTTGACGGTATGGAAGTATTTAAATAAAAAAACTGTCTGTGGGATTATTAATTCAACAATCCACAGGATGAGCTTAATTGTTATTGTCTCGCTTTGTCAAGATGGAACTGGGAGCAGCTTCGTTAAAAGTCAAGATGACGATTTTAGCGAGATTATGCATATAGCGTGTATATACAGCTTTAACATAACATAAGGACAATGGGGCAAGATTTTTTTCTATACATGTATAGGGAAGCATCTTTATTTTTTTTTAAACACATACCTCGCCGCTCTAAAACTTAGTATTAATCAAATATTGTAGGTCTTTTTATAACTGATATTTCTTTGAAAGTGTGTGTATTTTTCATCTTCTTAATCAAAAATAATTGTGAATTATAAGCTTATGAAGAGCAGTTATGTATTATTCTTCCACAAAAATTAATTTAACCAAACACCTTGGAGTATTTTCAGCTTATAAAAGAAAGTTTGCAAAAAACTGCTTGTAGGTTGTTGCAAGAAAAAAAATGTTGCTGCAAATTTGAAAAAGCATCTAAAGTTTTGGCCAAGTGTGCAAGAAGTTTTCATATCCTTTTACATTTAAAACAGTACCTCAATTACATGGTTAAATGCTGTCATGCAAATTTCCGGCAACTTTGCAAGAAGCCTAAAATTTTGCTTAGGTAAGTAGCCCCCTCCCCCCTCCCCCCCCCCTTCGTCTAAATCCATATACATGTATTCTATTACTATCCCTATATATGCGCTACCATGGACATGTACCTCATGTTCATATTAATCGTAAGCATCGCCAATTTAACTTATCTACATTTTAACAAAATTTATTTGAAGGCCAGAAGCATCGTTTTTTTTTTTTTAATTATCCATTTCAATATTTGTATTGTCAAAATTATCTTTTTAAAATCCAAATATGTTATAGGCCTTATGATTATATTGTCGGTTTGTCCACTGTCTTAATTCACAATGCTTATTCCCTCACTTTTACTGAGATCCTCAAATTTGTAGAAGAGAAGTCAACCGTATAGATGTTATCTTAGAGTTGTTTATGAATCAGACACTAGTTTTAACATATTTTTAAAGAGGAGAGAATTCGTAGAAATGGAGGGTCACCGACATCGTCTTAGCATTACATGCACGCACTCATGCATGTTCGTTCTGCCCTAGCCAAATCACAGATCTCATTAATTTATCGTTTATTGGTTCATCATGAGAAGCGCCCCAATCTTATACCAGATTTACTTGTGACAGGTTAAACTCAGAACAATCTGCTTATCCAAAAGCCCTACTTGTCAGACATGTTACATCCGGGTTTCCCTTACTGAACAGAGGCTACATATATGAATTTTAAAAAGCACATTCAGTCCGGGGACGCGCATCTCTACTGTCACATAACACATGTCACAACAACCACATTTAGCACTAAATCTATATTCAGTGAGCTTTTCAGCTGATAAACACTCAACACTCAAACCACTCAACACTAATCTGCTATCTCATACAGCCCTACTAACTAGACTCACAAACAAACATTTGAAGAAATTCATAATAAGACAGTGTCGACTTTAGAGGACCCCCCCCCCTTCGATTTTTTTTTAATCGCACAAATGTACAAATGAAGGAGAAATTTTGGTTTTAATAGTGAAAACGAACAATACAGTCACTATGGTAACGATGCAAATAATAATAATAATAATAATAATAATAATAATAGTGATGAACAAAATGATAACGTATATTGATGAATGAATAATGAATCGATTAAATATAATGGCACCTTCAAACATAAAGAAAGTAATGTGGAAATACTTCACTATTTTTTTTAAAGAGCGGATAAACATTTATGTCACACTGGCCCTGTGCACAACCCTCCTCTTGCTCTTCCGGGTTCGCAAACCAACTGTCTCACAAACAATGTTGAAGAAGCCAAAATAATTTATCATTTATCCAAAATTAAGGAGTATAGAGCTTGATACATGCTGATAGTAACCATACCGTAGACCTTACTTGGGACATATGTTGAGAATCTGGGAGCCCAAACTTCTTGAAAATTGTCAAAGTTGGTAACTGAGGGCCAAATAATATTAGCATATATAGAGATTTTGACTACATTAGATAACTGATTGACTAACATGTTTTGGTAAAAGCTTTATCTAATTGTTTTTCACAAAACACATTTAAGTTTAGTTTGGGATCTTCAAACGACATGAAACTTCAACATAGTGGGCAAATTCAAGAGATTCGTCGATTCTTGCATTTTATAGATTTTCGAATTTTAACCATATTTCAAAGTGTTCTTACTTAGACAGGTTTTCACATTTGTGATCATTTAAATCACGAGGGAACTTGTGCGTCTACAAATGAATTTTTAGTTCGTTAAGACAAATGTGAATTTTAAGCTGAATGAAAAAAAGAACTAATCATTGCCAAAACATGGCGATGTAATCAGCCTGAAAGTAAACGTGCTCCGAAAGTTTGAAAGCTGATTGTCCACGCAGTTCAATTAATATGGAGCTAATAGCTTTAATCTTCCTTCATTATTTCACTTGAGGCGTATTTAAGAATAACATTTATACCAGGGCGATCTTCATTATAAGGTAATGAAAGCTCCAATTTTAGTTCAAGTGATCGTACTTCTGGGATTAGATCAATAACCTGTTTTCGAAACCATAAGCTACCTTCAGGAGCTAAGTAAACAGATAGCACTTGTGCAAATTTCAATTTATTACACCAATATAGCCCGTGCAATGCCACACACACACACACACACACACACACACACACGAGAAAAGTCAGAGTTACTTTGAGACCATTCCCAGAGACTATCGTACTAAGTTTGGATCGAACTATCTCCGAGGGGATTCTCGCTTAATTGCAATTAACTTGGGCGGCTTAGATGTCTGTCACGCCTGTTGAGGCTGATAAGGGATAATTAACTAGCGTTTAGTAGCTTTAGACGTCTAAGCCGCTTGGGCTGAAAGCAATTTAGTTAAGGACCCCGTGGAGATGGATCGATCCTGTTAGATCAATCTAGGGATGGGAACCCAGTCTCACTAACATATGAAATTTAATATCACAAAACCTTCATTTATTGATATGATAACGATATGAAAGTTTTTTTTCTTTTTTGCTTTAACAAATAAAGAATGTACCAATAGCACAAGTTCCAATGTTCATTTTACTTTATAATAGACGCTGTCACATTTGATATTTTAAAAGGCCTAAAAGTACAGTTTTAACTTGATTTTTTTTTTTGCAAACCCTACTCTGATTTTACGTTTATCATGCTCAATGAAATAATAAAATCATGAGCGTGATAATTACTTAATATCATATTTTCACATCGGTCTCCCATGGTTTCCATGCCATGTGCGTAGCTCTTGATCTAAGATACTGTATATTGCTAAACCATAGCTTTAATGGTAACGCCGCCTATACTTTTAAATGTTATGAGGCAGTCAAGTCTTAGACTGCGTTCCCATAAACCCATCGTTTTAGCTGAATCGATCTTACTCTGCGGGGCTTCTCACTATTTAAAGTGCTTTCAATATAAGCAACTTTATTATCTGACATGCCCTTTGAGTAACTGGGTGGTGGTGGGGGGGGGGGAGATTGACTATGGTTAATTACCTCCTAGCAGCCTGTGTAGACGCGCCAGACAGTTCAGCCGCTTACACTGAATGCAGTTAGCGAGAATCCCCGCCAAGTTAGATCGATCCAGCCAGTGCGATATGGTTATGGGAACGGTCCTTTGGAGTTGCGTCTTCAAACAAAAACACCAAACATCGTTTTTACAAATCGGCAGTATAAACACTGTTGACCCCAACTCCATCTTGTCAATGGGATGACTGAAGTCTAGGACCCAAATTTTATGTCCTGTCCTAGCATAAGTGTAGTGTCGTCATTGCTTTGTCCGCCCTTCTTCACATTCACCCATTTATGCATGTAAATTCTAAGAATGTACGGAATAAAATGGTGGAGTCCAAAACTGCGGAACACGTAAAACTACAGTCCTTTTTCCTAGCCGTATTGACCGACTTGAAATGGAAGCTTCTTAGATAAATTGTGGAGACCGCTTATCATAAATCGAAAAAAAAATGTCACGTTGTAAATGATTTAAAGATAAGTCAATTAGACCAGATGCTTTGTTGATCTATAAAAGCAACAAAGCAATAGGTTATATGGTATAATACAGACTTGACANTTACCGACATATGGATACTTTTTTGGAAGAACCATGCTTTGCCAAAGCCAAGCTTTGACCTGCCCAAAGGAGCACTACCCAATTAAATCACTGCATATTACATAATGCAGCAGCGCAACAAACCTGGAATTCAGTGAATTGGAAGTGACACACCTGACTACACACTTCTCCATTCACATATCTTATATGAGATCTGAGTTTTTTGAAAAAAGGATGCATTTTTACCTAGGCATACATTCGAAACTGAAATATTCCATATTAAATGTCAAGTCTGTATAATCATCATTTTCACATAAGTGGTATACTTCTCCCATTTACAGCCTTTCGCTTATCTTTTTGTTCAATTTATTCCCATGGGATTCCAAACCGTTAATGAGCGTCGCTAATTAGAGCTAATAACGCAGTAATTTTTCTCTATAGCTTTGCTGTCAGCATCGATTAAGTGCGTAGATGACAAACTTGATTGACGGAAGTGGCGCCGTTGGCACTCACTAACCTCACTGCCTGATTGCTTGAACTGCCCTACCAGCATCATTGACCTGAGAAAACTTAAAGTGTTATCTTTTTGCGATTATCTTTATACTTTCGAACAAATCTTTTTCGAGGAATTCTTTATGCTTATTGGATTTTTTAGCTGTAACTTATCCGTCGCAATAATCAAAGGCAGCAACACTGAGATTTAGAAAAACGATGTTTACTAAACAATCCGAGAGAAAAATAATTCAGATATTTCATACTTGTGTATGTCTCTACTGATACTTGTTGAGGCACGTTATGTACCTATACTCTTTATCGGCAAAAGGTGGCGCTACATTATTCCTAATGACCTACACGTATACGTGCACTGTGGCATCAATTGCACGGCCCCGCTTCGGATTTGGTTTATATTGCACCTTTTAAGTATTCACAGGCAATTACCGAGCACACACATCAAAGTGCTCAACGATCATTTGATGTCTAAATACATGAATTTGAGGCCATGCACTGTTTTGCCACGGGAAGCGTTATAAATGCATGCTAGCGTTACCTAGCAGTTCAAGTTGCTGTGGCTTTTTTTCTACTTACATGCTCATCCTGATAACGAAAAAAAAGGATAAAATAGAAGTACTGTTATGAAATTCTGTCAGAGTTGAAATGTTAATTTTAACGTGACACTAGTGCTCTTTTGTGGCGTTGCATTACATAGATTCGTGACTTGTCGGAATAATTCATATTCTAAAATGGCCTTTTGCGCCAAGCTTTTAACAGCTAAACTGTTAAAAGGGAAATCATTAATATTGAAAGCAGTTCGTTTTAACGCAAAAGTTATATTAAAGTGGTTTGTTTAATGAAATTTGTATGTACGATTTTTGCCCTATCAGAATACCCGCACCATTTTCCATCCTAGAAACTGCGTTAATGCAATTTTCACCACGTTACTGTAAACCAGCATTTTTGCAAAATTAATGCACTACTTCACATCAATTTCACCATAAACGAAATTCTATCGCAACCAAATATTCTTCTGGAGCTTTGATTATATACAATTGGCGTCGTCATATAAACCTTATGATACACGGTAAGCACGGTCTGCATACCAATCAAAGCTGTACATTTGCTTTTTGGCATATGTTTTAACAGACGCGCTGTAATTCAGGCTACACAAGCAATACTTAAATGACAAAGAAAAGGGTACCTTTTTTCCTCTCTCATTTTCTTTTCTGTTTTCCTCTCATCATTTTATCAAAATCATTGAAAAAATCACCTCAAATGTAATAAAGATTCGTTAAGGTTATCATGCCTGTTGATTGTAAGAAGTTAGATATCTGTATATACTGAACATGAGGAATAGAAAAAAAAACGAATCGATAGCATCGAAACTCTTTTCTAGGGTGTTATCTCAACAATATGATTATTACAAGGACAAGGTCACAGTGCCCGCGTTGAATCTTTGATTTACCGCGCTCTCTAGATAATAAATTCACACAGTGATGAGCTACATATGCTGCTCACACTTTTGACATCCTTAGTAAGAGAATACATCTGCTTTTCCTGTGAATAATTCATTACCGTATTAGTCTTACATCGTGTAAGATATGAAGTCTTTTACGTTAATTTATTTAGTGAACAGCTGTCTATGTAGCGGGGATATTACGACTTTATGGTTTGATGCTTGTGTGCAGCAGTGGGAAGTTTAAAGCGACAAACATTCATTGGCACTCATTGAACGGGTTGGCGCTACACGGGATATAATCTGTCACAACACTGGAACTGTCACATAACTCGCCAAAGGGTGTTATGTATTCGAATACTACCATCTTGTTTTAGCATTGTATGTAATTTGTTTTGACAAAAGATCAGAAATGCTCGCAGCCATACCACCATGGAACACAGTGTCGTTGCATATTTAAGTGCGTTGTCAAATGCAAGTTCCCAAATGAGAGGAAGCTGAAAAACTGAAATTAACGTAGAAAACGGTGCGCAATACGCAAAACCGCATTGTTTTCGTGTTACGTAGTCGAAGCGACGAGAAAGACTTTACGTGGGGTATTCACCAAATTTCCTCAGTAGAAAACGACTTGTTGAAAGGCGGGAACTACTGGTTGGATGACGTTTCACTAAGAGTGGGAGGATGAATTTTTACGTGACGTCGGAAGCAACTCGATGCCTGTTTCAAGGAAAGTTTTCTGATGCACAAAACCACACAGTGTTCGTGGAGATTGCATAAATTATACATGTGGCTGCTGTAGTTGTCAAAACACGATACTCTTGAGGGACACAAGATAACTTAAAAGTGGCTGAGCATCTTCCAATCCCCATTACTGTATTTGAGCAGTGAATGGCACACGAAGTTTATCACCTGAATCATCCAAAGAATGTATTATCTTGTTGAATTTGTCAAAATTAATTTAAGTGACTTTATGGTATGCCATCTGGAACGACTTTCTAGCATATAAATGGCTAGATAACATCAAACATGGCTCAATCACCGAGTGGGTTACCGCCTCAATCCTCCATGGATCAGGGAAGCTTTTTGAACGGTACTGAGAGCGACTGGAATAACAATATCTCCTTATGTGTCTCCAATGAAAGCGTGACAAATGTGACACTTCCATTCTACTATCCCTTACCGTATGTCATTATTTCGGTAATCATGGGTGTCATAATCTTTACCGTTGGATTCCTGGGCAACCTACTGGTGATCGTCGTCGTTGCACGTACAAAGACAATGCACAGCACAACTAACTGCTACTTGGTAAGCCTAGCCTTGGCTGACTGTCTGGTTCTTATATCGGCGACATTGCCTCATACTGTTGGAATGTTTTGGGCCGCAAATCACTTTCCTTACGGCACGGTTTGTTGTGCTTTGTTAACTTTCTTGAATTATTTGGGAATAAATGCGTCTGCCTTGTCCATTACTGCATTCACCATAGAAAGATACATAGCCATATGTCACCCGATGAAGGCGCATGCAATGTGTACAGTAAGCCGAGCAAAGAAACTGATCATTGGCCTATGGATATTTAGTATCTTCTATAACTCTCCGTGGTTTGGATTAACCGAAATACAGGTCCCTACAGGGGACAGTTCAGTGCTTCAAGTGTGTACCTTCAAACTGGACAGAGGTCGGTATGCTGCCTACTACTTCGTGGACCTTGTTTTATTTTATATCATACCTTTGGCCGTGACAGCAGTTCTCTATTGTTTAATAGGGAGAATTTTGTTTCTCAGTACAAATCGTGGACTTGCAGCCGATAGCATTAAGCGCAATACAATGAAAGAAAGGGTGAATAAAGACAGGACGTCCTTCAAACAGGACATGACTAGATCCAGAATTCAGGTTAGTACCTTTTTAAGGGGAGACCGGGGCTAATATGACCACGGGGTAAGTTGGCCCCCCATCAAGTCTCTTTAATAAAGTTACTTTAAGATGCTAAATTATTTCATTTGGACTCACTGCCGACGCTTTCTTAGCACTATTGGATACGGTCACTTTACAAAATGATGTGATCAATTCTTTTACCCCATAGTTACTTTGTCATTAATTGATGGGGGGCCAACTTACCCCTGGGTCCAACTAGCCCCGGTCTCCCCTATATTCTGCTTGCTCATCATTCAGGGCCCAGCGTCATCAACAATGGATAGCACAATCCTATAAATTACACTATCCATTGGATAAAATTAATTGTTATCCTCTGGACAATTATCCTCATTATAGCAGCCATTTTGAGCGCTGGTTAGCAATATATGAGACAAGATATGTGTGTAGAGTAACATTAATTTACCCAAAGGGTAACTGTTCAGGGGACATATATTTTAGACATTTTTTGGATAGCGCTTTCCAGTTTTGATGAAACTGGACCAGATTTGAATACTAATGACTGTTTTATAACTTGCTTTCTTTTTAGAAGATAAAAGTGTTGTTTGCTCTTCTGGTTTTGTTTGCAAGCACGAATGCAAAATCTTCATTTCATTATGATCTGAGCATCACATTAAAAGCAAGCAGACTTGTGCACCCACATCATCATACTCAAACTCACTGGTTAATGGAAAAGTATTTGATATGTAGGGTAATGATCAAATAATCCATATAAAACGCTGATAAAATGCAAAATTAATATTTATCGAGAATGTGAACCAAAAAAAGTTAATACCAGTAGTGTGACAAAGTTTTTAAAAAGAAATAAGGCCTACGCCAAAAACAACAGGGCGCTTAGGACCTGCGCGCTTACTGGAAGCTATGACAAACTGCCAGCCGAACAATCAGATGAAGTTAGCTTGCCAAAGGCTATACACCGAGCACAGACATCACGGTGACATCAAACGCTATTTTGTGCATCGTTACAAAACCATGTCACGTGTGTAGCTTTGGTTTGTTAGTCTTAGAGACTTTAAATTCCTAGAAAATGCCAATTAGGTAATTAAAAGTATTCTTTATATTAGGGGAGACCGGGGCTAGTTGGACCCAGGGGTAAGTTGGCCCCCCATCAATTTATGACAAAGTAACTATGGGGTAAAAGAATTGATCACATCATTTTGTAAAGTGACCGTATCCAAGAGTGCTAAGAAAGCGTAGGCAGTGAGTCCAAATGAAATAATTTAGCATCTTAAAGTAACTTTATTAAAGAGACTTGATGGGGGGCCAACTTACCCCGTGGTCCAACTAGCCCCGGTCTCCCCTACGTTTTAGGTTTCATATAAATAGATATTTAAAAAATAAATAGAATGTCTGTAAATACCTGCGACGCCATTAATTTAACGACATTCGCGTACTTTCGGGAAAGCAACAGACTAAAAACATGCCGGAATCCCTGTGAGGTGGGGTTAACTTCTAAGCAATAAATATGAAACTCTTTGCTACAGGAATGTCGCTTTAAAAAAATACATGTACAAAAATGGACCACTAAAATTGTGGAATTCTGTCCTTTATTTTTGCTTCTCCGCACTCGCTAGTCTGCATTATTCATGACTCCACTTTCCTCCAAATCTAACGAAATCTCGCTTGATTTTACGCTAAGTGGCGAGACTTTTGGCGTTGATCCTCATAGCGTGTTTGCAAAACAATTGAAAGTAAGATGGTGGAGGAATATGCAGGGTTCGCTATATCGTGAAAACCAGAAACGGTATCCAGGATTTTACTCAACTCCCCATGAAAATATATGTGTGTTTGTGTGGAGAAGTTTTGTGGTAGTAATTCGCGGAATATTTATGGGTTGGGTAAAAAATGTACGGTATGTGGAACATCGGTAATGCTTATCGTCAAGTGCTGTAGTTACGTAAGCTGCTGTCGACTTCTTGGAGGGATATTAATGTGTTGCATAATTGCACTGCAATGNCACATCTTTTACATGTAGTAGCCAGAATGTACCAAAATAAAACCAAGTCATTGCGAAATTGCCATAAGCAATGATTTTTTTGTTCTTCAGAATGATATGATAGGTCCTTCCTACTCCATGTAGCGTATATATTTTTGTAGGTGCTGAAGATGTTGATCGTCGTCGTGGTGTTGTTTGCTCTACTTTGGCTGCCATACCGAGCTCTTGTGGTCTATAATTCTGTTGCCGCAGTTCGGTTTGATAGCATATGGTTCCTGATGTTTTGCCGACACTTGATCTCTGTGAACAGTGCCATCAATCCTATCATCTACAACATCATGTCTACGAAGTTCCGAGAGGCTTTTAGAAAGGCGTGTATAGCTTGCTACGGTAAGTAGGATTTAATACGTTTTATAAATCTAATCAAAAATAGAGTCTATTTTGTAAAGGCCGAAGTAGCTCAAAACAACTAGTTGAGTACTGTTTGTATTGGTATCAATGTTATTTTTCGTCTACAATGCTTGCTTTAGAATTTTGGATGTATCCATAAGTGTTCCTTTTTAACGCTAACGTTTAATTCTCTAGGTTGCTGTGCTCCCAATACGACTGGCACTACGCTGTTGCAACACACCACATGCATGACATCTCTATAGATACTTTGTTCTCCACACAAGTAGGATTGAGGTATACATGTAGTTATTTTGAATGTTTTACCACGGTGTTTTCTGGGATTCAATTTGTGTCCGTGCTTATCATATACACGTATATGTACGCGGGAAAATAAACGCAATTACCAGTTTGTCCTGAGGAAGGCTCTTGAGTACAGCCGAAAATTTGACGGTATGGAAGTATTTAAATAAAAAACTGTCTGTGGAATTATTAATTCAATAATCCAGAGGATGAGCTCAATTGTTAGTGTCTCGCTTTGTCAAGATGGAACTGGGAGCAGCTTCGTTAATAATCAAGATGACGAGGAGAATGACTGCTTTAGAGAGATAATGCATATAGCGTGTATATACAGCTTTAACATAACACAAGGACAATGGGACAATGTTTTTTTCTATACATGTATAGGGAAACATCTTTTAAAAAAGATACATACTTCGCCACTATATAACTTGGTATCAAGCAAATATTGTACGTCTTTTTATTAGTGACAATTCTTAGAAAATGTGTGTATTTTTCATCTTTTAAGCAAAAATAATTGTGAATTATAGGCTTATGAAGAGCAATTATATATTATTCTTCCACAAAAATTAATTTAACCAAATACCTTGGGGTATTTTCAGCTTATGACAGAAAGTTTGCAAGAAACTGTTTGTAAGTTGTTGCAAGAAAAAAATTGTTGCTGCAAATTTGCTGAAAATTTGCAAGAGCATCTGAAGTTTGGGCCAAGTTTGCAAGAAGTTTTCATATCCTTTGAAAACATTTCCATTTAAATCCATTTAAAACAATACCTCATTTACATTACCTCATTTAAATGCCGTCATGCAAATTTCCAGCAAATTTGAGGCCACAATTTGCAACAAGCCTAAAATTTTGCTTAGGAGAGAAACTCCCCCCAAGGTATTTGTTTAAACGTGGAGGAATTATAGATAGCTGACTTCTAAATATTATACGTCTTTCGTCCATATACATGCATATTATTACTATCCTTATACATACGCTACCATGTACTTCATGTTCATTTTAATCGTAAGCATCGTCAATTTGGCTTATCTACATTTTAACAAAATTAATTTGAAGGCCAGAAGCATCATTTTCTTAATTATTGATTTCAATATTTGTATTGTCAAAAAAAATTTTAATCCAAATATGTTATAGGCCTTATGATCAAATTGTCGGTTTGTCCACTGTCTTAATTTACAATGCTTATTCCCTCATTTTTACTGAGCTCCTTAAATTTGTAGAAGAGAAGTCAACCGTATAGATGGTATCTTAGTGTTGTTTATGAATAAGATACTAGTTTTAACACATTTTTAAAGGAAAAGTGAATTCGTAGAAATGGAGGGTCACCGACATCGTTTTAGAATTACATGCACGTACTCGTGCATGTTCGTTCTGCCTTAGCCAAATCACATATCTCATTAATTTATCCTTTATTGGTACATCATGAGAAGCGCCCCTATCTCATACCAGATTTACTTGTGACAGGTTAAACTCAGTAAAATCTGCTTATCCAAAAGTCCTACTTGTCAGAAACATTAATTCAGGGTTCCCCTTACTTAACAGAGGGTATATATTATAACAAGCACATTCAGTCCGGGATGCGCATCTCTACTGTCACATGACACGTGTCACAACAACAACATTCAGCACTAAATCCAACGAACAGCAGATGTTCAGTGAGCTTTTCAGCTGATAAACAGTGTCACGCAAATACCACTCAACACTAATCTGACATCTCATACAGCCCTACTAACTAGACTCACAAACAAATACTTGAAGAAATTCATGATAAAACAATGGCGGATTTAGAGGGGGGGTCAGGGGGTCTTGACTCCCCCCCCCCCCCGCCCCCCTTCGATTAAAAAAAAATCACACTAATGTTCCCATACTTCTCATGCGGAATCAACTACAAATGAAGGAGAAATTTTGGTTTTAATGGTGAAAACGAACAATTTAGTCACTATAGTTACGATGCAAATAATAATAATAATAATAATGGTGAAAAACAAAATGATAACGTATATTGATGAATGAATAATGAATCGATTAAATATAATGACACCTTCAAAATTAAAGAAGGTAATGTGGAAAAACATAACTATTTTTTAAAGAGTGGATAAACATTTATGTCACACTGGCCCTGTGCACAACCCTCCTCTTGCGCTTCCGGGTTCGCAAACCAACTGTCTCACAAACAAAGTTGAAGAAGCCAAAATAAGAATTCTATCATTAATCCAAACTTAAAAGAGTATAGAGCATGATACATGTTGATAGTAACCATACCGTAGACCTTACTTGGGACAATTGTTGAGAGTCTGGGAGTCCAAACTTCTTGAAAATTATCAAACTTGGTAACTGAGGCCTGATAATATTGGCATATATAGAAGTTTTGAATACATTAGATTGACTAACATTTCATGTTTTGGTGAAAGCTTTATCTAATTGCTTTTTCACATTACACATTTTAGTTTAGTTTTGGATCTTCAAACGCCATTAATTATATACAAGAAAGTTTCAATTTTTAATGTATATGGCCCATTATCCAAAACAAGATCCAGAAATTTCGAAACAGACCCGAAACAACAACACAGTGGGCAAATTCAAGAGATTCGTCGATTCTTGCATTTTATAGATTTTCGTTTTTAACCATATTGTCCTTACCATAGTGTCCTTACTTAGACAGGTTTTCACATTTGTGATCATTTTAATCCCGAGGGAGTACGTCTACGAATGAATTTTTAGTCCGTTAAGACAAATGTGAATTTAAAGCTGAATGAAAAAAGAACTAATCATTGCCAAAACATGTCGATGTAATCAGCCTGAAAGTAAACGTGCTCCAAAAGTTTGAAAGCTAATTGTCCACGCAGTTCAATTAATATGGAGCTAATAGCTTTAATCTTCCTTCATTATTTTACTTGAGGCGTATTTAACAATTTTATTTATACAAGGGCGATCTTCATTATACGGTAATGAAAGCTCCAATTTTAGTTCAAGTGATCGTACTTCTGGGATTAGATCAATAACCTGTTTTCGAAACCCTAAGCGACCTTCAGGAGCTAAGTAAACAGATAACACTTGTGCAAATTTCAATTTATTACACCAATATAGCCCGTGCAATGCCACACACACACGAGAAAAAGTCAGAGTTACTTTGAGACCATTCCCAGAGACTATATCGTACTAACTTTGGATCGAACTATCTCCGAGGGGATTCTCGCTTAATTGCAATGAACTAGGGCGGCTTAGATGTCTGTCACGCCTGTTGAGGCTGATAGGGGGTAATTAACAAGCGTTTAGTAGCTTTAGACGTCTAAGCCGCTTGGGCTGAAAGCAATTTAGTTAAGGACCCCGTGGAGATGGACCGATCCTGTTAGATCAATCATGGACATAATGAGAGAAGGACGAGAAACGCGCTATCTTCCTTTGAAGCTCTGTGCGTTCGGGTAAACATTCGCCCATTGTCTCAGATAAGCTGTTTTGATAACTCCACGGGAACCTGAACAACTTATTATCAAGGTAGCGCGCGCTGTGACTCATTGAAATCCTTTTGTTCTATTGCATGGATAACGCAATTTCTCGCGGTCCCTCGTGGTTGCTATGACACAGCATTGCCTCCATCTTGTAATTGCTAGCACATAGACTTGCGTCAACAAGTGGAAATTTGTTTCGGGTTTACAGTTTCTTTTTCCTGTTACCTAATTAAAACGGGCTCTGGCCTTTGTCTTACTTGTTACCGTTTCCAAGATTGTATTGATATATGCCGAACTTATATATAACTGGTTTAAAAGCATGTTGACTAATAAAGCCAGGTAGGTGCTATCCAAACGTATCTGATAACAAGACAATGCAATGTACCGGTACATGTAGCAAGCCAATTACAGAGGTGAGACTAAAATCACAAATGTGATCAAGATCCACTTTTATGACCATTACCCAAGTAATTATATTCACGAAGTTTGCATGTGTACATGTCCACATTTATATTTGAATTAAAAGACCAATGAGGATGTTGGTCAATCGTCTCTATGCTGTTTAGGGACTCCAATTTAAAGATGAAAAACTATTAATTTTCATTTTCAAAGTGGAGAAGACCGTAACCGGTAATGTGTAAATATATATATACTTCAGAGCAGTGTTAATGTCAACTTTGATAAAAGAATATTAAAAGGCCCACAGGCGCGTTTTTGTGCGTAACGAATGCGTGTGTGGTGCAATATTGCAACGAGAGCCCATATTGAAAGTTAAAAAATAATAATTATCATTCTCAGACTGGAGCAGACCATCGCCGGTAATGTGTAAATATATATATACTTCAGAGCAGTGTTAATGTCAACTTTGAAAAAAGAATATTAAAAGGCCCACAGGTGCGTTTTTGTGCGTAACAAATGCGTGTGTGGTGTCATATTGCACCGAGAGCCCATACTGAAAGTTAAAAAATAATAATTATCATTCTCAGACTGGAGCAGACCATCGCCGGTAATGTGTAAATATATATATACTTTAGGGCAGTGTTAATGTCAACTTTGATGAAAAAATATTAAAAGACCCACAGGTGCGTTTTTGTGGGTCACGAATGCGTGTGTGGTGCCCTATTGCAACGAGAGCCCATATTGAATTTAAAAAATATTAATTATCATTACTATAATTCGGGCTCACTTAAGCAAGTAACATAAACCTATTCATATAGCACACAGCAGTGTAAATGCCACCTTTATCTAAACCGTACGTAAAAAATACCAGACCTAAAACGATGTCAGCGAGTTGAATAAATCGGAGAGGAATTGCGTCATTTTACTTCAAGACACGATTGAAGGTTTCATTATTGCCGCGTCTCAGGCTAATTTCTCACATAGAGAGAAAAGTTTGACACTAAAAATATTTTTCAATCGGATCATAGTTGAAAACAAGTATACTACACTACAATTGTACAATTTTGAATGCTCATTTTACGACAACAAACAAGATTGCCTTTACCACATAGGGCATTTTGAATTCCTCCATGAATAAACATATCAAATTCTCACATAGTTTCAAAATTGACAGAACAAATTGTACGTATACTTTATCTCTATAATTTTATTGTCTCATCCACCCGAAAGATTGACTCGCGTTGTCGCGAACTACCTGCCCAAATGACACAAAAAGCCAGCAACAGCCGCGATATGCTCGCTACCTGTACGGGAGGTCACGTGATCCGAACGCACATCGTTTCGCGAAGAGCTTGCGCTAAGCCGATTATCCTTTGATCTTGCTCCGCGTTACTTGTCCTTCTCTAATAAGGTCCATGGATCAATCTAGGGATGGGAACCCAGTCTCACTAACATATGAAATTTAATCATACAACCTTCATTTATTGATATGATAACGATATGAAAGTTTTTTTTCTTTTTTGCTTAAACAAATAAAGAATGTACCAACAGCACAAGTTCCAATGTTCATTTTACTTTATAATAGACGCTGTCACATTTGATATTTTAAAAGGCCTAAAGGTACAGTTTTAACTTGATTTTTTTTTATGCAAACCGTACTCTGATTTTACGTTTATCATGCTCAATGAAATAATAAAATCATGAGCGTGATAATTACTTAATATCATATTTTCACATCGGTCTCCCATGGTTTCCATGCCATGTGCGTAGATCTTGATCTAAGATACTGTATATTACTAAACCATATCTTTAATGATAACGCCGCCTATACTTTTAAATGTTATGAGCCAGTCAAGTCTTAGACTGCGTTCCCATAAACCCATCGTTTTAGCTGAATCGATCTTACTCTGCGGGGCTTCTCACTATTTAAAGTGCTTTCAATATAAGCAACTTTATTATCTGACATGCCCTTTGAGTAACTGGGTGGTGGTGGGGGGGGGGGGAGATTGACTATCGTTAATTACCTCCTAGCAGCCTGTGTAGACGCGCCAGACAGTTCAGCCGCTTACACTGAATGCAGTTAGCGAGAATCCCCGCCAAGTTAGATCGATCCAGCCAGTGCAATGGGGTTATGGGAACGGTCCTTTGGAGTTGCATCTTCAAACAAAAACACCAAACATCGTTTTTACAAATCGGCAGTATAAACACTGTTGACCCCAACTCCATCTTGTCAATGGGAAGACTGAAGTCAAGGACCCAAATTGTATGTCCTGTCCTAGCATAAGTGTAGTGTCGTCATTGCTTTGTCCCCCCTTCTTCACATTCACCCATTTATGCATGTAAATTCTAAGAATGTACGGAATATAATGGTGGAGTCCAAAACTGCGGAACACGTAAAACTACAGTCCTTTTTCCTAGCCGTATTGACCGACTTGAAATAGAAGCTTCTAAGATAAATTGTGGAGACCGCTTATCATAAATCGAAAAAAAATGTCACGTTGTAAATGATTTAAAGATAAGTCAATTAGACCAGATGCTTTGTTGATCTATAAAAGCAACAAAGCAATAGGTTATATGGTATAATATAATCATCATTTTCACATAAGTGGTATGCTGTTCCCATTTACAGCCTTTCGCTTATCTTTTTGTTCAATTTATTCCCATGGGATTCCAAACCGTTAATGAGCGTCGCTAATTAGAGCTAATAACGCAGTAATTTTTCTCTATAGCTTTGCTGTCAGCATCGATTAAGTGCGTAGATGACAAACTTGATTGACGGAAGTGGCGCCGTTGGCACTCACTAACCTCACTGCCTGATTGCTTGAACTGCCCTACCAGCATCCATTGACCTGAGAAAACTTTAAGTGTTATCTTTTGCGATTATCTTTATACTTTCGAGCAAATCTTTTTCGAGGAATTCTTTATGCTTATTGGATTTTTTAGCTGTAACTTATCCGTCGCAATAATCAAAAGCAGCAACACTGAGATTTAGAAAAACGATGTTTACTAAACAATCCGAGAGAAAAATAATTCAGATATTTCATACTTGTGTATGTCTCTACTGATACTTGTTGAGGCACGTTATGTACCTTTACTCTTTATCGGCAAAAGGTGGCGCTACATTATTCCTAATGACCTACACGTATACGTGCACTGTGGCATCAATTGCAAGGCCCCGCTTCGGATTTGGTTTATATTGCACCTTTTAAGTATTCACAGGCAATTACCGAGCACACACATCAAAGTACTCAACGATCATTTGATGTCTTAATACATGAATTTGAGGCCATGCACTGTTTTGCCACGGGAAGCGTTATAAATGCATGCTAGCGTTACCTAGCAGTTCAAGTTGCTTTGGCTTTTTTTTCTTCTTACATGCTCATCCTGTTAACGAAAAAAAGGATAAAATAGAAGTACTGTTATGAAATTCTGTTAGAGTTGAATTGTTAATTTAAACGTGACACTAGTGCTCTTTTGTGGCGTTGCATTACATAGATTCGTGACTTGTCGGAATAATTCATATTCTAAAATGGCCTTTTGCGCCACGCTTTTAACAGCTAAACTGTTAAAAGGGAAATCATTAATATTGAAAGCAGTTCGTTTTAAAGCAAAAGTTATATTAAAGTGGTTTGTTTAATGAAATTTGTATGTACGATTTTTGCCCTATCAGAATACCCGCACCATATTCCATCCTAGAAACTGCGTTAATGCAATTTTCACCACGTTACTGTAAACCAGCATTTTTGCAAAATTAATGCACTACTTCGCATCAATTTCACCATAAACGAAATTCTATCGCAACCAAATATTCTTCTGGAGCTTTGATTATATACAATTGGCGTCGTCATATAAACCTTATGGTACACGGTAAGCACGGTCTGCATACCAATCAAAGCTGTACATTTGCTTTTTGGCATATGTTTTAACAGACGCGCTGTAATTCAGGCTACACAAGCAATACTTAAATGACAAAGAAAAGGGTTACTTTTTTCCTCTCTCATTTTCTTTTCTGTTTTCCTCTCATCATTTTATCAAAATCATTGAAAAAATCACCTCAAATGTAAAAAAGATTCGTTAAGGTTATCATGCCTGTTGATTGTAAGAAGTTAGATATCTATATATACTGAACATGAGGAATAGAAAAAAAACGAATCGATAGCATCGAAACTCTTTTATAGGGTGTTATCTCAATAATATGATTATTACAAGGACAAGGTCACAGTGCCCGCGTTGAATCTTTGATTTACCGCGTTCTCTGGATAATAAATTAAAACGCAGTGATGAGCTACATATGCTGTTCACACTTTTGACATCCTTAGTAAGAGAATACATCTGCTTTTCCTGTGAATAATTCATTACCGTATTAGTCTTACATCGTGTAAGATATGAAGTCTTTTACGTTAATTTATTTAGTGAACAGCTGTCTATGTAGCGGGGATATTACGACTTTATGTTTTGATGCTTGTGTGCAGCAGGGGGAAGTTTAAAGCGACAAACATTCATTGGCACTCATTGAACGGGTTGGCGCTACACGGGATATAATCTGTCACAACACTGGAACTGTCACATAACTCGCCAAAGGGTGTTATATATTTGAATACTACCATCTTGTTTTAGCATTGTATGTAATTTGTTTTGACAAAAGATCAGAAATGCTTGCAGCCACACCATGGATCACAGTGTCGTTGCGTATATAAGTGCGTTGTCAAATGCGAGTTCCAAAATGAGAGGAAGCTGAAAAACTGAAATTAACGTAGAAAACGGTGCGCAATACGCAAAACCGGATTGTTTTCGTGTTACGTAGTCGAAGCGACGAGAAAGACTTTACGTGGGGTGTTGACCAAATTTCCTCAGTAGAAAACGACTTGTTGAAAGGCGGGAACTACTGGTTGGATGACGTTTCACTAAGAGTGGGAGGATGACTTTTTACGTGACGTCGGAAGCAACTCGATGCCTGTTTCAAGGAAAGTTTTCTGATGCACAAAACCACACAGTGTTCGTGGAGATTGCATAAATTATATATGTGGCTGCTGTAGTTGTTAAACACGATACTCTTGAGGGACACAAGATAACTTAAAAGTGGCTGAGCATCTTCCAATCCCCATTACTATATTTGAGCAGTGAATGGCACACGAAGTTTATCACCTGAATCATCCAAAGAATGTATTATCTTGTTGAATTTGTCAAAATTAATTTAAGTGACTTTATGGTATGCCATCTGGAACGACTTTCTAGCATATAAATGGCTAGATAACATCAAACATGGCTCAATCACCGAGTGGGTTACCGCCTCAATCCTCCATGGATCAGGGAAGCTTTTTGAACGGTACTGAGAGCAACTGGAATAACAATATCTCCTTATGTGTCTCCAATGAAAGCGTGACAAATGTGACACTTCCATTCTACTATCCCTTACCGTATGTCATTATTTCGGTAATCATGGGTGTCATAATCTTTACCGTTGGATTCCTGGGCAACCTACTGGTGATCGTCGTCGTTGCACGTACAAAGACAATGCACAGCACAACTAACTGCTACTTGGTAAGCTTAGCCTTGGCTGACTGTCTGGTTCTTATATCGGCGACATTGCCTCATACTGTTGGAATGTTTTGGGCCGCAAATCACTTTCCTTACGGCACGGTTTGTTGTGCTTTGTTAACTTTCTTGAATTATTTGGGAATAAATGCGTCTGCCTTGTCCATTACTGCATTCACCATAGAAAGATACATAGCCATATGTCACCCGATGAAGGCGCATGCAATGTGTACAGTAAGCCGAGCAAAGAAACTGATCATTGGCCTATGGATATTTAGTATCTTCTATAACTCTCCGTGGTTTGGATTAACCGAAATACAGGTCCCTACAGGGGACAGTTCAGTGCTTCAAGTGTGTACCTTCAAACTGGACAGAGGTCGGTATGCTGCCTACTACTTCGTGGACCTTGTTTTATTTTATATCATACCGTTGGCCGTGACAGCAGTTCTCTATTGTTTAATAGGGAGAATTTTGTTTCTCAGTACAAATCGTGGGCTTGCAGCCGATAGCATTAAGCGCAATACAATGAAAGAAAGGGTGAATAAAGACAGGACGTCCTTCAAACAGGACATGACAAGATCCAGAATTCAGGTAAGTACCTTTTTAGGGGAGACCGGGGCTAGTTGGACCCCGGGGTAAGTTGGCCCCCCATCAAGTCTCTTTAATAAAGTTACTTTAAGATGCTAAATTATTTCATTTGGACTCACTGCCGACGCTTTCCTAGCACTATTGGATACGGTCACTTTACAAAATGATGTGATCAATTCTTTTACCCCATAGTTACTTTGTCATAAATTGATGGGGGGCCAACTTACCCCTGGGTCCAACTAGCCTCGGTCTCCCCTATATTCTGCTTGCTTGTCATTCAGGGCCCAGCGTCATCAACAATGGATAGCGCAATCATATAAATTACACTATCCATTGAATAAAATTAATTGTTATCCTCTGGACAATTATCCTCATTATAGCAGCCATTTTGAGCGCTGGTTAGCAATATATGAGACAAGAAATGTGTGTAGCGTAACATTAATTTACCCAAAGAATAACTGTTCAGGGGATATATTTTAGACAGTGCTATTTTTTGGATAGCGCTTTCCAGTGTTGATGAAACTGGACAAGATGTGAATACTAATGACTGTTTTATAACTTGCTTTCTTTTTAGAAGATAAAAGTGTTGTTTGCTCTTCTGGTTTTGTTTGCAAGCACGCATGCAAAATCTTCATTTCATTATGATTTGAGCATCACATTAAAAGCAAGCAGACTCGTGCACCCACATCATCATACTCAAACTCACTGGTTAATGGAAAAGTATTTGATATGTAGGGTATTGATCAAATAATCCATATAAAACGCTGATAAAATGCAAAATTAATATTTATCGAGAATGTGAACCAAAAAAGTTAATACCAGTAGTGTGACAAAGTTTTTAAAAAGAAATAAGGCCTACGCCAAAAACAACAGGGCGCTTAGGACCTGCGCGCTTACTGGAAGCTATGACAAACTGCGAGTCGAACAATCAGATGAAGTTAGCTTGCCAAAGGCGATACACCGAGCACAGACATCACGGTGACATCAAACGCTATTTGTGCATCGTTACAAAACCATATCACGTGTGTAGCTTTGGTTTGTTAGTCTTAGAGACTATAAATTCCTAGAAAATGCCAATTAGGCAATTAAAAGTATTCTTTATATTAGGGGAGACCAGGGCTAGTTGGACCCAGGGGTAAGTTGGCCCCCCATCAATTTATGACAAAGTAACTATGGGGTAAAAGAATTGATCACATCATTTTGTAAAGTGACCGTATCCAAGAGTGCTAAGAAAGCGTAGGCAGTGAGTCCAAATGAAATAATTTAGCATCTTAAAGTAAGTTTATTAAAGAGACTTGATGGGGGGCCAACTTACCCCGTGGTCCAACTAGCCCCGGTCTCCCCTACGTTTTAGGTTTCATATAAATAGATATTTAAAAAATAAATAGAATGTCTGTAAATACCTGCGACGCCATTAATTTAACAACATTCGCGTACTTTCGGAAAGCAACAGACTAAAAACATGCCGGAATCCGTGTGAGGTGGGGTTAACTTCTAAGCAATAAATATGAAACTCTTTGCTACAGGAATGTCGCTTTAAAGAAATACATGTACAAAAATGGACCACTAAAATTGTGGAATTCTGTCCTTTATTTTTGCTGCTCCGCACTCGCTAGTCTGCATTATTCATGACTCCACTTTCCTCCAGATCTAACGAAATCTCGCTTGAATTTACGCTAAGTGGCGAGACTTTTGGCGTTGATCTTCATAGCGTGTTTGCAAAACAATTGAATGTAAGATGGTGGAGGAATATACAGGGTTCGCTATATCGTGAAAACCAGAAACGCTATCCAGGATTTTAGGCAACTCTCCATGAAAATATATGTGTGTTTGTGTGGAGAAGTTTTGTGGTAGTAATTCGCGGAATATTTATGGGTTGGGTGGAAAATGTACGGTATGTGGAACATCGGTAATGCTTATCGTCAAGTGCTGTAGTTACGTAAGCTGCTGTCGACTTCTTGGAGGGATATTAATGTGTTGCATAATTGCACTGCAATGCGCGTACGAAAATGTAAGTTACATGTCATTTCAAATGACAAGGATATTATTCATTCCTCATAGTGACACATTACACAAAATGTGTGCATCTCTGACGTGATTAAAATGTTCACTTTTTGTGGAGTGACCCAACAGCGTTTCCTTATTTTCCTCTAGAAATGATACGACTGGATGCCATAAGATTGATTTCAAATTTAAAGCCACTGGGGTGGGTCGGTGCTACGTTTTCTTAGTACTGGCGGGAGAGGCTGCTAATAGCTTTCATGCACACAAGTACCGGTAACTTTTAGCAGAAAAGCTGTCTGTATTTCTGATACTGATATTCTAATGATTCCCAGAACTGCCCTTACTGAAAAATGGTGTGATTTTTTAAACAATTACACCGCCTATGCCTACTAGTATATCCCTGCCTACCCAGTATGGAACCATTATCTTATTCAATTTTGGCAAATAAAACAAAGTTTACTTTCACTTTCAAAGATTAAATAAGTGGTTGAATATTATTATCTGTACAAGTCGGGCAACAAGACGAAAAATTATAAATGTCACCAAACCATTTCTTCTGGGCGGTTACGCTGGTCATCAACTAATCTTTGTCTATGCGAACTTAAACTTTTTTTAAAGATCAAAATGAATTTTGAAGTCGGCCGAGAGGTCCCGATAAAACAGTCTTACTATGAAGGATCGTCATTTTGAGGTACCATTACCCACAAACCTTGGGTTTATTTAGATTCAATATGACGTTTTGCTCTCGTTTCCTTTCCAAGCTGTAGTCTATAACCATAAGCTTTCCAATACAAAAGTAAGTGCATACAAGTTGAAGAAAGTAAATAGAAATTTTGAAAAGAATTACTAAGAGAAACATGATAAAATTCAGTATTTAGAGCCATTTTTTGAAAGACACTGTTTCTCTGGCTGATGACGGCCATTTTGGATTTCTCAAAAAGCACCAGACCAACTTAGAATAGTGAAATAAATCCAATACACTTGCACAGGTAAACAACCAAGTTAAAATTTTCATGGAATCCGTTGGGACCCTGAAAAGTGTAACATACATCAATTCTGAAATACCATGTGTATTTGAAATGGATCTCTTTGTGAGTACATAAGAACTAAGACGGATGTGTTTAACTCAATGCAATATATGAGATATTCCATTACTACAGGCGTGTTGCCTGTCACATCCATCTTAATCAGACGCTTAAATCGTTGTTTCTTTCTTTTCAAGTTCCCTCCTGATTCTTTCTGGTAGAGAGCACATAATTGAATGAGATCAACCTGGATTTTCCAAATATCTTTTTCGACTAATACACCATAATGTGTTTACCTAGTAACACTGGGATATACATAACAATTAAGTAGCATTTCTCTTAAAAGAGTACACTAGGACATCTATCACAAACAACGTGGCTGATATTTAAGACTGTCATACCCTATTTGTGAATGACTGGAGATTTTTAGGTTCTAACGTTATGGGCAACTTTAGTATAATTCTTTTTTTATTCTATTATTTAAATATCATCATTTGCGCGTATGTGTGTAAGGGATCCTGATAGTTTGTGCAGTAAGCATAATCAATTAAGTTTGACTAAACTCAGAAAAAATACGGATGGTCAACCAACAAAATCAATCTTAGATATTTTCTGAGCAATATATATAAGCCTGCATATACGTAGTTAGCTATTGGCATTACTGGCCATGCGGTGCTATGGCAGTTCATTTTACTTTGGCTGACAATGTTTTTGGCCTACACATACCTAATATTGCCTTAATTTTGTTGGTAATTTATAGGGTGATTTTGGCGCTATATCCCATTTCCAACAAGCAATTTTTTCCTACCCACGAATCATTGCTTGTCCAGTCCCCGTTCTAGATTATATGTTTTGCACTGTTTCAAATTAAAATTTAGAAATAACCTTAGTCATGATAAATTTAGTCCATCATGTGTTTCCCATACAAAAAATGCCACCAGGCAGTTTTATTAAGAGGTACAGGGTATCATCATTTTGAAAATTGGGAAAGATAATTAGGGTTGCAAGATAATTATTCATAAAGATGTGACCGCGGGGCATGTTCAGATGCACAAATAATACATTTAAGGTCGCCTATTAAAATAAGTATCATTTGAAACGGGGCCCTAGAATGTTCAACCGAGCTTTTGCTCCCTGTCCAACAAATCGACCGACCTCCTGCAATCCGAACATTAACAAAATACGCCCATTGCCATTTTCGCAGTATGGACGCTGATGACAAAACTGAGCGAATTGCAGTGCCATACATCAGTGATTTCACTTGTGAAGCAGTAGCTGCTTATTGGCAGTTGCGTGCTCATAATATTATGGGGTTCTGCTGAATGGACGCAGTGTTGGTCAATAGCTTCTGGCAACAGGGGCGTTGTTTTACATCGCCTCCCCTTAGGATAAGAGGTGTCCCAGAGGAAAGATCTTATTAACAAAATTTTAATAAACCGATTTGTCCAAACGATATTTAAGGCCAAAGAAGATTGTCTGAAAGTATTTTTAGTGTGTGTGTGTGTGTGTGTGTGTGTGTGTGAGGGGGGTAATAAATGTGGGGGTGACAAAATATTTATCACGAGTTATAGTAGGGTCTTCGAATGCAGTGGCTTCAGATGTTCTCTGAGAGTCCTATTACACTGATGCTCATAAGTTAAGCAACACTCCGATTTTTTCAAAAGTTTCTTCTATCATGATCATTTTTTCATTTGTTAGTGGGATTATGCATATTCCTTTCATATTTTATAAATAACTTATTCAAAATGAATATTTCGGTTAAAGAAATATACCACATAACTTATTGTAATAATCAAAATAACTTTATTAACCAAACGTTACTAAAATATGCCAAACCGTGAGTCAAAAAAGTATGCTCACACAGCAAAAAGTACGTATTGATTAAAACAGCTGATTATGAAAAAAAAGTTCAATCATCTAAGAATTAGTTTTAATAGAAGAAGACTGTAGATATTAGATGATTAATCGTCTATTATGCAATTAATATCGGGTGTGCCTTCCCTGGTTTCGAACAACAGCTTCACATTGTCTCCTTCAACTTGCCACCAAATTCTGCCAATCTTGCTTTGGGAGCCGGTTCCATTCTTTAATTACTGCCTGCTAGACCTCTCTAATGTTTCTAACTGGAGGTTGTCTCTCATTTACTGCCATGTCAATCATATTCTAAGCGTGTTCGATTACATTGAGAGTTGGTGAATATGCAGGCCAATCTAAGTTTGGGATACCGTGCTGTTGCAGCGTGTCTTGCACGGACCATACTTTCTGGATGGGCGTATTGTCCTGCACAAAAATGATTTTTCTTCATGGATTTGCTTGAATGTGTGATTGTATGCGCCCCAATGGTATTTCGTCTCTGTATTGTTGACCAGTGAACCTCCCTTGAACGACGTACAGTGGCAATTTTTCATCACATGAGAATACGCACCAAACCATGACGGATACTCCGCCACCCTAAACACGTGGAAGAACACAATCATCCTGAAACCATCTGCATATATCAAAGTGAATCTGGTCTCCTCCGTCCACAGGACCTTTCGCCCAGTCCTGAGATTCCATCTTTCTCGGTATTTGGCTCATGCGAATCTTATCTGCTTGTGTCTGTTGGTCGACGGTGGCTTTTGACGAGGTCTTTTAGATGGAAGTTTGACTTGTAAAAGATGCCTGTTGACTGTTTGCCTACTGATTCAAGCTCTTCCTAATCCAGGCCAGATGTTCCTCGGTTGTTTGGCCGACATGAACTGGTTCTGATGGCATAATCGAACCAGATATCTTCGTCTCTTGCGTCGGTTAATATTGGTCTACCAGAAAGTGGCTTGTCCAATACATGACGAGTTTGGCGCCATTTTGCTACCAGCTTGGACACTTGACTTGACACTTGACTTGGCGCTACTCTTAGTTAATTGCCTTGCAATCTGCCTCTTTGGCACCCCAGCACGATGGGTTCCTATTATTTGCCATCTGATGGCAAATAATAGGAACCCATCGTGCTATTATTTGCCATCTGATGGCCTCGTTAAGTCATCTTCTAACCATTAGTTGGTGCAATATAACAAATTGTGCCCATGAAACTAGCCAAACTGGAAGCTCCACATGGCATAGCCAAACTGTGTTTTTTACAAGTGGCACCCCCATTGCATATTCTACCGTGTCCAGCAGTAAATAGTACTCAAATGTCACTGTACAGTAAATCAAAGTAAAAATAAGAGAAATATCTAGCTACTGTACAAATTTTGCCTCAATAAAAAACTGAATATATATATATATATATATATATATATATATATATATATATATATATATATATATATATATATATATATATATATATATATATATTTTTTTTTTTTTTTTTTGAAGACCCAGCTCAAAACTTAAAAAAGGAAGTCGGTCACCTTGTATTACCGATGGCTTTGTCGACCTCTGTTATTAACTACATGCGTTAGCGCCTGTTTGCAGATAAGAGGACTTAAATGTTCCTATCATGCACTCGAAATTTTCTTATTTGATTTAAGTGCCTTTTACCTCTAGTAAAAGGAAAGCCATCTGAGTATAATATAATCCATTATTTCAAAAAGGTCAGTTGTGTATAGGAAAAGCGCAATTGTAGGGTATCCAATTCCGAGTATAAAGTAAACATTTTAAAATACGTTTTTGCTAAATTATAGACTCAATATAGACTAATAACATCGTTTGCCAATATCGATGAAAATAAAATAGATATACATGCATTTGGCAACCCGTGTCATTAGTTCAATCTCCGAGGAATAAGCGAAGGAAGATACTGTATCTGATGGAGCCGCAACTTCTTTATCTGACAGGAGATAGTGATACGTTGTATAAGCGATTGGACTTTACCGACGTGGTTCCGGTAAAATAAAAACACAATTTCAATAAATTTATTCCTTTCTATATTTTATTTGTCTGCTTTACCATTAATTGTGTAGTGGTCAATTTTTTTTTACAGACACAGATATGTAATTGTATCGTTTTAGACAAACTCACTTGCACCGTCCAAATGGTGTAAGAGGAATGTAATGTATGTTAAGACTTTCCAATTAAATATTATTTTCTTGAGCTATTCGATTTTATCGTTTTTAATACGAGGTCGTGTAAGGTCGCGTTTAATAGGGTAAAGGTCTTAACCTATAATGAGGCATTGGAATATGGTATGTACTAACATTAAACAATGAAATTCAAAAGAACAGAATAAATGATGTTCAGGCAAGTTGGGTGGTGAAAGTTTAAGAATTCTCGAAAATTTCTGCAGAAACATATAATTTATCTATTACATAAGTATACATGTAGTTATCTGGGATGAACAATGCAGAGATACATAGCCTACATAACAGAATAAATAAAAAATCCATTAATATTCGTGAAAATAACCTTAAAACGCTGATCTTTTAGCTCGCACCTGCCTTTTTATCAAATAAAGTCCCCTACTGGTACCGTGAATTTAAAGTAAAACCAAAATACGGCTTTGCATTTGTGGAGTGAACGTCGCAAAATAATCCACTAACTTTTAGAACTCTGCCTGAAATGATTTTCGAGCCTGTATTTTTACGTAACAAAGTCAATAAGTGAATTTCATGTAATACGAAAATACGATTTGACAGCGATGGGGTGAAGTACTCAGTCGGATGGCGTAGGCAACAACATGAACAAATGCGGATAATTAGAATACTGTATATACAGACACTGTAAGTGAAGTAAAAAGGAAAGTCGATCTTTGATTTCCTATTTTTTAATTGAATTGAACAGTTGGCATTCATGATAAAAGCACCGATAAATTGATTGGTGTTATTTTTCTTGGGGTCTTAACCACAGTAACCGTAAACTAGCACTTATCTTACTAATAATACTTTACACAATATTCTTGGCATAAGTGAGTGTCATTTTAAAATGTCTAGCAATGAGCACGCGAAACAGCTGAGAGCCTTTCTGTGTAAGCCACACAAAGCGTTCTACTATCAGCCAGCAGCGAGGAAAATTACACAGAAGAGAAAATACACGGGGGATGTTGTGTGTGCGATGTTCACACCACGAAGGGCAGTCTTCCCATATTGCAGAAATCCTTTTAGTTAACTGAGGCCAGCTAGACATATTAGTCAATGGATACTTCTTAAATATGCCTCAAAATAGTGTATATTTACAACTTATCAATGATTTTTTTGGACCACTGCATTTGAAAAGGCTCCCCTTACGACGCTGTATTTTAATGGCAAAACTTCCTTTATTCACATCTGTATGGTAAATGTACGATTGTTTAATAATAGATTTATGCTTGCTTCTATCTTAAGGCTTTGATTTGTATCATTCGGCATGCAATTAAGTGTTATACGTAAGAAATAAATGTACTCTTGGGTTAATCTTTAATTCAGATTGTGAAGATGCTGGTCGTGGTGGTGGTCCTCTTCGCCTTACTATGGCTGCCCTACCGAGCCCTGGTGGTCTACAATTCATTTACCGACGAGGAGTATCTGAACATCTGGTTCGCTCTCTTCTGCCGTATGATGATATTCTTGAATAGTGCCATCAATCCGATTTTGTACAACGTCATGTCAGTGAAATTCCGCACGGCGTTCAGAAGGCTGTTGTGCGAAAGGAGATACAACCACAAGGAATCCAGAGCAGTAGAGCATACTAACATGATGACTGAGCACACAGAAATGTGCACCCTTAATGCAGTTTAACACAACTGATCTCTGGTCAAAGGGAATTGTTTTGTTGATTTGAAACCATGTGCTAGACAATTCGAAATTGGAAATTTGCGTGAAAGTGAAATTGGTTGCTTTTGACCCGTATTAACGGTTGTATTGCAAAGAATTAACCCATTTAACCCAATCTTTCAGGTTTCATTTTGTTTTTCAACTCTGAGATATGACAAAGTCAGAGGAAAACAGTAAGTTTTGTTTTATTTTAGCTGAAGTACCACCTTTTGATAATTTCCTCCATTTCTCTGGAAACTACGTGGCTGTTTCACCTTTACAACTAGTATGTCACGCACCTGTTTTAGCTTTCGACTGATAGCCTCTTAAGTAACGTAGGGACCGGTTTCACAGAGAAACTTATGTCGAAAGTCCTATTTTAAGACTTTAAAGTTTCTTTTAATGTACTCTGACCCAGCGTAAATCAGTAGAGATTCTTTTGGAGAATAATATTGGTCCGGTTTTGTGAAACGTGACGAATGGCTTGTTAAAGACCGATGTCTACTTTATTCTTGTAGACTTCTGCGCCTAAATTCTGGATTGAAATAGACCAAAATTGTGGTCCTAAAGTTAAAATCAACATTCGGTTTATTTTGATGCTTTCTATTCACTTATCATTACTAGCCACAAGGTATGGATGGGAGCCAACTAAAAAGAGCTACTAGAATGTTAGCCTTCCGCCTCTTAGTATTGGGTTTGTAATCAAGTACATCTGCAAAGCATTTATGAATAGATGCGAAAGTAAACAAACTCTCAGACAAACGTGCCTGTGTACGGATGTGTATTCAAGTGCGTTTCCTGTCACGTGTGAGTGCGTGAACATGTGCTGCATGAAAGTTAAAACGTTTGAGTCCGTTGTCCGGGAAAAAGGCAGTGCTCAACTTATTTGAGAAGAGCAACTCTGACTAGAAAATGCAACAAGCGATTTATTTTATATCTAGTCAAGATTTTCTATTGGAAGAATGGAAAAGTAAGAAAACAAAGAAAAGCAAGTGTTGGAAGTTTTTCGAATCATTTACTCTCTTGTAACACTTACAGTTTGAATATATATATTACTAGTTGTTATTCTGTAATCATGCACAATAGCTCAAGAGCCCATTGTAGATACATGTACTAGACAGATTATTCATTCATTCATTTATATACTATAGTTTAGATGTTACAGTGTATTAAAAAATCCAGCCCTTCAGGATTCAATGCCAATTTATGTGTTGTACAATCGTTCTTGTCTTATAATATATATACATGTACAGTGATATTGTGATTTCGTCAGTTGGTTTAATTTTTCTGATAAAAGTTTTCAACTAAAGCGTTCCCTTTATGTAAATGTCGATCTTGTCAATCCTTTCTATGTATCCAGTGCACTGAGGTAAAAATGCATTTCATCTTCTATCTTGCATCTCAAGTTGCATACAGACTATTCCTGTTTAAGCTCGGAGACAGCCGAACTTTAACGTATCATGTATCCACTTAGAGTGTTCTCGTGCGGTCTAATTGCTTCATGTCATCCAATCTAATCGGTAACTCGAAAATCGATTCCATTTGCTTTAATAAGAAACCCCATTAGTTTTTTGGAAAATTCAAATAGACATCCTCATATGACATTTGACTTGATAAACTTTTCTCAAAGTAACCTTGATGAAAAGATTCGACAACCTCAAACCTGACTTATATCTCTCGTCCTTTGGCTTAAGTTGTCTTCCTAAAATCTTCATCTTCTCTCAATTTAAGAACTTTTGTAAGAAGATGTTTTAACCATATTTTTGTAAAGTAAGTGCCTTGTACCGTTACCTCGCAGGAATGTGATGAATCTCCCGTGGCATTTGCAACTCAATCGCCTTATTGATTTCGTACCGAGAGAAAACAAACCCTCTGTCCACGTCAAATTCAATATAGTAAAAATCTAATATGCCTCCATTTCTTAAACCACTTTCTTATTCATATTCAATAACCAATTCAGGACCTGCGCTTGTGCAAGGAAGTACAAGATTTTGCACTCCATACAGTCAATCCGTATGGCTCAATTATGGCTCTGAGAATTATTGTCCAAGTTTGGAATAAACTTTTGTAACGTGAAAGTCAAATGAAATGTGTGTGTGTGTGTGTGTGTGTGTGTGTGAATTCTCATTCCAGAACAGATGGACCAGGATTTACTCCGTATTTAGTCTTTATATGTACAGCCTTTCTGTCAGGACGTCATGATGCACCTTATTTTACAGTAGGTGCAGTGGAACCTGGGCCCAGTAACTCGAAAGCATCGCGCATTGCGACCGAGCGCAAGCGTCTCGATTCCATAATTCGCCCATACTCGCCCCATATAATACATTGTAGCCTCTATGTGAAATCGCTATTCGCCATACGCGATGCTTTCGAGTTACGGGGCCCTATTTAATCCAAAAGTCCGTGGATATATTCATAGAGGGCATCTCATCGGAAACCCAAAATAAGCATAATATTTTGCCAAGTATTCCCCATTTATTTAAGAGTCAGCCCTACCACTTTTTTCTTATTTTGCTCTTTTCTACTAATCAGCAGTGTCCTAATGCTTTTTACAAAGCGTCGTTGCAACCTCCGAAATAAATTGATTAAAACATTTATCCGTCAAACTTTCGATCTTTTCCCAAGCTATCCATCAATCTGCATGTACTTTCTATTTCCACTGAGACTTTATTTTGCTGTTTTCTGTAAGATAATAGACCTTTCATAAGACATTAATATTTCCGTAGTTTAACATGCACGCATATCGGCCAATACTCTAGATAAATTTCTCGTGACGGTCATGATTTCTCCCTTATTGAATTCATTATTGGCAAAAAATATTGCTTGCTTCATCGTTGAGACTTATTACATGTAAGGTTAATGTAGTTGTGCAGTGGTCAGTTCTGTAAACCTTTCGGAGTAGATCTGAATAAAATGCAGTTCTTAGGAACCAATTTTAAGGACTTTTTTGTTTGGGTTTAATGTAAATGGTAACATGTCCTTATTATTCATTTAATCAAAATAAATAAAAACGTGTGCCTGACTCTAAAAATATTGATGGTATCGATATATAATCTTAAAACTGTTGCCGAAAAACGGCTTCTCCATTTTAACGACTACCCACAAAGCAGAGGCAAGACATTACAGAGAAAGATGCAGATGAAAACATCTGCCCTAATATATCACTCACTCCCGAGCTAATAAGTTATTTTGAAAAAAAGAAGTGCCTTAAAACTCGCAGATGACCAAACCCCGCCAAGATGGAAAGTTAAAACAGATTGTGTGACCTACCTGACCGGGCTGACTAACCCGCCCTGGAAACTAACACAACACACGTCTCTGAGAATTTGGCAGACAGGAAACATCTTATATGCTGATCCCGCCTCAGGGTCCCACTCACTCCACTGACCCTGCATTTCATTTTGAACATTCTTCAATTGTTTTTTATTATTATTATTTTTATTATTTTTTTAATCTATCAACATTAGACTTTTAATTGGAATTATAACATTATACGTTGTAGTGTTTGGTCTTGTAAGTGCTTTGTTTTCTCGTAAATATGCAGTTTATACCCACCCCCCCCCCCCCCCCCCCCCCCCCCGCCGCCAATAAAGGATTCCTGATAAGACTATTCCTATTGCGCAGTCACGCTTTATGACTGATATCAAAATAAGTGCATTACTTCATTATTCTTAATACATCCGCATTATACAAAATACATATACGTCATCAAAGATCCATTACCAGTGTAATAAGATTGTCATGATTTCCTGCCATCGTGCATCATATACCGGCTGCAAACATTCGTCCTAACAAATGCCATCCAGTCGGGCAGGAATAAACATCATTTGGTAAGCAGTCAAGTTTAGATAATTTTTTTTTAAGAAATCAAAAAAAAAATCTTTAAGGGGTTTCGATACGTTATGGTGGTCTTCATTTGGCTAAATAACTTCTTCTCCAGTTTTTATGTATAATACTTCTCTTTAAATTAGTGCAATAGAAATAAACACTTTAAGAGCACAAGTCCCTTGATTTATTCGCCACCCCACGGGCATTAATCTTCAGTTTTGCTCCTTCGTCAATTGGTGTGAGATAGTAATTGGTTTCCAACGTAACTTAGTAACTTTGAAAGATTTTGTCATGAACATTGGCATGGTTGACGACTAGGGTGTGAACTGCAATCCGGTGCCAGTGTTTGGTTTTAAGTTTTTTATTTAGCCCCTATTTATGCTGTTCCATCAAACAAAGGCTTTTTCCTTTTTATTGATGAAATCAGAAGTAAGTCTTTCATAACAATTACTTACATATCATGTTCTTTACAAACTTACACCGCTTTATTAAAGGCCACTCACGTATGGGATTATCAATTTGCTTATTTCCATTATTTTCAATATTGCTGTCCATAATTACATATCTGAAATGCTATGCTAGATGATATATAAGTAAAAGTAGCTATCAACTCAGTACCCAGTCTGTCACGATCACTTTTGTGATACAAGAGTGACATGGAGTTTTCTTAAAATCCCCAGGATACGTTGAAATAACATTAAATCATTGATGTGGAATTGATTTTTTGCTCTAAGGTCGCATGTTAAAGAACGGGGGAGGCAGTACCTGTCTCATTTGTTGGACAGTGGTACAGTACAGTGGGTAGGTCTCACGAGACTGGTCACTACACACGATATCGCAACATTAATGTGTATTGACGAAGTGCCGAGTGTCGTATTTAAAGCTTTCACTAAGGAATGCTGTCGGAAGTTCGTGTGGAAATTGAAAAGATGAATTATACAATATGCATGACAATATTCCATCAGTTTGATATATATTCCCCCTTTTAAGGGTATTCAGGACCAAAATGGGAAATAAAGCTATGGGACCGCAAATAATGTTTAAGCAGACGGGCCCTGCTCTTCATTTGACTACGGGTGCGCTCACAATGAAACTATCGTGCTAGACTCCACTGGGACTCTCGCTGAATGCAAGCAAGTTAACAGATTGAAACGCCTCATTTTGTTTACATCGTACTCGTACTCGTACAATCACCAATTTTCTTAATTCTTCCCAACGCCCGGGGAGTCATGTAAACATTTTAATCTGATTGCATTCAGCACGAGTTTCCGCTGAGTTAGTTCGAACTACCTACTGCGATAGTCCCATTGTGATCCCAACCTCAGATTGAAATAAATTTTCGAGAGAACGACAAAGTGCATAATCAGAATGAACCATTTAGGCATTAATGCATCTGTGCATCACATTTGTTTGCTTATCCCTACAACGGGATTATACCCATGACCCATTTTACCCAAGATGACACATTGTTGCCTACATATAAGCTGTGTCTCTATAATCGACTATTTTGAGCAATTCAGACGTTGCATTGGGACTTTTTCACCGCAATTTTTAACTGTACTCAGACTACTAGTTTTGTCCCCTGGCAAGATATGCAGACAATGATTGAAAACTATCAAGGTGAAGTAGTCCCTGCTATTGGGTTACAGGCCTTGTTTTATGACTGCCCAATTAATTCCATATATTTGAGAAATTCCCTTGGAGAGAACCTGGACTGCTTGAACGGCCAGTGAACATCTTGGAATATCGATCTAATGTCCTGAAGTTGGCAAACAATATGCGGTGCGGTCAATTTCTTAAATCTTTCTATGGATTCTTTCTCTGAACAGTCCGTTATGCCTCTGATGTTACATGTCCTAAGCGTTGCTCAAGAGTAGATGATAAGTGTTTAAAGACAAGAGTAGATGATAAGTGTTTTTAATGACCTGATATCATAAATCAAATATTAGAATTCAAGGCAAATAAACAATTAGGGACAGTCAACAGATTATTGTTTTGTTAAATCTCA